CCCAAATATAAAATTAACATAGTAACTAAAGTGAAAAACACAAAGTCAAAAAAAATTAATTAAGTGGATAATAAAGGCTGTTTGTTTATATTTTTGTACAAAAAAAAATTTATGTATAAAAAACTTATTCACGGCGCAATAAATGACACTTGTAATGTGTATATTATTGTAACATTAATGTTACAAACATAAGCTTGTAACAAATATAAAACTAAAGTTTGTATTTGACAAGCAATTTTTATGTAAATAAACACATAGCTTTTGCAAAAACCAAAAGCTCTTTATAAAAGCAGTTTAGAGGAGCAGTTCGCATGGCTCTCCATATTTATTTTAGGAGAGCTTTTGACCGCTCTTGCTATCATTTACTCCCACCAAGGCCTGTATTTTATATAAAAAAATTTATAATAAAAAATTTATACTTATACAAATTTAAAAAAATATATATTATTCATTAATGTTTTTATAAAAAAATATTAGCAGTGATTTGTCACTTTTTTTCAATAATATAAAAATAATATAAGTAAAGACCATAATATAAGTAAATAATATAAGTCAAGACCATAGTTATTTAATTCAAACAACTTTCAAAAAAATTTGCCTTTTTTTTCTTCTTAACAAAATCTTTTTACTTTTGGAGTGAATTAACTTTAATGATTCTAATATAAAGTTTATTAAAGAGATTATCGCTGTTTAGAGACAGCGATAGTCTCTCAGTACTGCAAAGAATTGTTAAGAATCTTTTTTTTAATTTTTAAATGTGTGCATTTATTAAACTATTGTTAGATGTAAGATGTTAAACTATTGTTAGATGCAAAACATCTAACATAAAATTTATTAAGGAGACTATCGCTGACTAATAAAATTTTTAATTTTATAAGTCGTTGCTTTTAAAATTAAAATTTTTTTATATAATTATTATTTTTTTAAATTTTAATTATAGAAAAATCTTATATAAAGTACTGGCCAAATTATTATGATAATTGAAGAAAATATCAACATTAAACTTGTACTTTTTGTCATTAGAATGCATTATAGTAAATAAGTATTATACTTTATATTATTCCTGGGTTATGCCTGTGGGACTTGAGTACCTGCATATTAGATTTTGTACTTTAAAAATTTTAACAATACGTTGGTAATGTCCTTAGGTATGAATGTTCATTTTTTTCAATTATTTGCAATTAAGCAGGGATTATTTTGCAAGCAGAAATATATTAATATTGAACGCCTTCCAGGCTAAGCCTGATTCTCAGGTCAAGAAATCTTGTATTTCATCTCAAAAATTAGGTTCTCATAACTTTTGGAAAATCTTTAACAGCATCAATAAGGAAAAATCTGTTATTCCACCTTTCTTGTACTGTTTAGATTTTGTCACCTCACCTAAAGACAAAACTGAATTGTTTGCTAAGAACTTTTCATCAATATCATTTCTTGATTCTACTAGTTGTGTTCTACCTGATATAGCCGATAAACAGGTTGATCCATAGCTTGACATTTGTATTACTCCAGCTTCTGTATCTAGAGAAGTGATTTCCACAGCTTGTGGTCCAGACAACATACTTGTTATAGTCTTGCAGAAGTGTTTTCTGGAGTTGAGTCTATACATCCAAAACTATTTAATAAGTGCTTATTAGATTCTTGCTTTCCAGCTTGCTGAAAACCATTATCTGTTATCCCTATTTTCAAAAACTCTGGAGAGCGATTTGACTTGTCTAACTACTGTCCTATTAATCTTCTTCCTATCATAAGCAATGTTTTTGAATCTTTAAATAACAAACATTTAATCTCTCATCTTGAATCTTATAACTTATATTCTGATCATCAACATGGATTTTAATCTTCTCGTTCTACAGCTGATTTGCTAACAGTAATAACCGGTAGATTTTATTGTGCATTAGATATCACTCTTGACATTTCTAAAGCTTTTGATAAAGTTTAGCATGCTGGTCTTCTCCATAAGCTCTCTTTTTATTGTGTATCAAGTATCATCTTTAAGATTATTGAATCCTTCCTTACCAATCAAGTATAAAAGTTGTCCTCAATGGAAGCACTCTTCTTCATATCCTGTAACTTCAGGGGTTCCTTAAGGTTCTATCCTTGGCCCTATAATCTTTTTAATTTACATTAACAATCTTCCATATATTCTCACATCTAATAGTGGTATCATCAGTGGTATTGTATACTGATGATACTACTATTTATTGTCTTGATAAGAAGCCAACACTCTCTGATTGCTTGGAGTGGGCATTAGAGCTTGAAAAGGGATCTCTCTTCTGCTACACCATGAGGCTCTTGCTGGCTAGTGAACTTTAATTCAGATAAAAAAAATTTCAGCTAATCTTTATTGCAATAATCTAGATCTTACTATATTTATGAACCGTAATGTACTTGATGACTTATCTTCCATTCATTTTCTAGGATTGACTCTTACCTCCAATCTTTCTTGAAAACCATATATCGAATCAATTGCAAAATTAGCATCTGGAAAGGTTGCATCTCTTTATAGTGCTCGCCACTTTTTTACTCAGGATTCTATTCTTTATTTTAATAAATCACATCATTGTAATTTGCATCTCTTTTTCTTTTCTAAAAACATTATATATTGTGCCATCTGCTAAAATTAATTCTCCTGTGACTTGTCATTTAATAAAGTCTCATCCTTTTACTGTAACTGCTCCTAAGTGCTTCAAATATTCTTATATATCTAGTTTTTTTCCTTAAACATCAGTTTTTTGGAATTTGCTTCCTTTATCTTGCTAGTACTTAAAAATATGCTAATGATACAATTTAATTTTTAACAATTTAAATGTCAAAGTTGAGTTAAAGTTACATTTATTACCATTACATATATATATATATATATATATATATATATATATATATATATATATATATATATATATATATATATATATATATATATATATATATATATATATATATATATATATATATATATATATATATATAATAATATAAATAATAAATAAATATATTGTATAAAGAGTTTATCATCAATATGCAGTTTAAGTACTTTTGCTTTTATGTACTGTTTGAAATATTTTTTTTTATTAAAAAAATTGTGCATGAAATAACAATTTATTACTCTCTGTAAGTTTATTTTTATATAAATAAATTTTCAAGTTGTTTTTTTTAAGTTTAAAAGGGGCAAACAAACTCAAAAGAAAAAAAATATTTTCTTTTTTTTTTTAGTTATTTAATAACTAGTTGAAACATCATCACTTGAATAAACATTGATTTACATGTATTACACATTACCTATTACTCGAATCAACATTATCATTAACTTACATGTTTAAATATTATTTACTTCTCTAAACAACTTATTATTCACATAAATCACAAAATGAAAAAATTAAAGCATTATGCTTTTCTGTGAGAGATCAACTGAAACAATGATAAAACTTGATAAATAAACTTGTTTTAATAATACCTTCTTTTAACTTGTGATTAAATAACCTGCTCTATGTTTATATGTAGTCAGTTAATTTTTATTTTAATAAAATAACTACCTAATAAAATAATAATAAAAATAACAAAAGTAATAACAAAAACCTTTACAAATGAAGAGAAAAAAATTTAATCTAAAAATTAACTACTAACATTAATACACAAAAAAAACTTTAACAGATAAAAAAAAAGCTTGTTGGTTGGAATCAATAAGAAAGGGGAATGAATGAAAGGTGATTAAAAAAATCTGTTTTTTTTTTAAATAATAAAATAATTATAAATATAATATTATTAATGATAAAATCATTTATTTAATAAATTTTTTACGTTTGACTGAACAATAAAATTAAAAGATGTTTAAAAAAAGTAAAACTTTTTTTTTAGAAAAATAAAACATAAAAAAACAAAAATGAAAACATCACTCATTTTTACAGTAAAACATATAAATAATATATCAAAAGAAAAACAAAATAGAAATGCAAAGTATTGACCAGCTAAACTGAATTTGAATCATCATTGTAAATAATATTTACTCTGGCCTAACCTCGTTGTATCACACCACCCTAGCCTATTGTTTTTTATAAATCAGTTGATCTTTAAATTTTTTACTTATTTTTATTGAAAATGCGTTAGTGAAATTAATTTCAAAAGGCGAGATATGAATCAAGTGACTAAAATTTGCAAGAAATGTAAAACTTTATCTGGAGATTAAATATTTTTGTGTTTAAATGCCTAAATGATCCAATGTAATGAATCTGATTTATTACATTAGATCATTTAGTCATTTAAACAAAACAAAAAACATTAAGCAAAATCATTTAAACAAAAAAGAAATTTCATTAATTATGATTCAATCATAACTAATGAAAATGAAAATGGTTGAGGAGTACACATTATAATCACATAAAATATTTTATGGTATTAAATTTAAAATAACAGTCTTTACTGGAGCCAAAATCAATAACATAAGGCAGGGGCAGGCTTTGTAGCCAACCCTGATTTAATATGAAAGACCATTATTTGGATATTTTTCAGACTAGTGGCATATTTATGTCACTATTTATGAACATCATAATCATCCTCATCGTCATCGTCATCATTATCATCATCATCATCATCATCATCATTACATCATCGTCATCATCATCAACAATAATAACAACAACACCAGGATCATTATATCACATCATCACTAATGAATATTATCTTTATGTCAGCATGTCAATGGGTGTCAAAAAACAAAAAAACACTAATTTCAAAAATTATAACTATTTAAAAACAATTAAAATATAAGAAAACTTGAAAGATTAGTTTTTATTTTTACTTTTAAAAATGATTATTTTAAAAATGATAGCTTATTCCTATCAAATCTAAAATAATAATCTTTATATAAAACTATTATTTTTTAAACTTTTATAATTTTGTGATTACAATTTTTTTTTATTATCCTCAAACATGGCATCAATAAAAACTTTAAATCAAAAATAAAACATTATTTCGGTAAAACCAAAAAAAAAAAATTTTTTTACCTTGATTCATTTGGATCTAAAAGAAAAAATAATAAAATTATACACATAATAAAAAATAACCATTACTATGGGCATCAGATTATCTGCATCAGACAATCATAAGATCAGATAATGATGTTACTACTAACATTAGTTATTAAATTAAATATTGTATGAATTATATAATATTAAAATATATTACTAATTATATAATTATTCTGAGGTCTTTTTACAAACTTGTTACAAACATCATTTGATTAACAAACAAAGTATACAAAAAAACTTTTACAATTGAACATCTTCATAAGAAACACTAAAATATGGAAAAATTAGGCAACAAATAAGAAACCTGGCGCAAATTAAATATATAAAAAAACACAGAAAGTTTCACTCAACACATTATAAAGCTTCTTATTCAAAATTAACACCTTTTTAAAACATCAATTCTTTTAAAAACTAATTCACACTAATTAAAACTGCAAGCAATCACTATTAAGTTGGGAGGTACTAGAAACCAAAGAATAGTATAAAGTGATAACAAATTTAAAGTTGTAGGTTGAAAAGTTGTAGGTTGTATAAGTCAGGAAAACATGAAGATAGGAGAAAGCTTCAAAGCATTGGTGTGCAAGGGAATAAACTAAATGAAAAAAAAATTTTACAGCTTGAAGAAACAGATACTGTAAAAGGATGTGACTTTGCAAAATGACGAGTTAAGCAAGAATGAGTTTTGGTTGCTAAACTAGTAATGATAGCCTCATTTGATTAGCAACCATGATATTATTTGCAACAGCATTGTAATAGTTGCTTGCAGTAAATAACTGAGATTTATTGAAGTTAAAATTCACAAGTCACTGCAAGCTCCAGGCAGTTACAGAAGAGATATCAGACTCAAGATCAACTCTATCCAATTAAAAAAAGACTTTTTGTCAAGAATAGCAACTTATAGTCATATAGATTGTCACATTGTTAATGTCAAATTGTTAAAAAAAAAGATGACTCAACAATAAACCTTTTTGAAAATAACCAAAAATATATATTGTGTTTTTTCTTGGCTTGACATCTATATCAAGCGTTTCATTAAGAAACAATAAAACATGCTAAAAATATATTTCAAATAGTTTATGTAATATATATATATATACATATATATATATATATATATATATATATATATATATATATATATATATATATATATATATATATATATATATATATATATATATATATATATATATATATATATATATATATATATATACATACATACATACATACATACATATATATATATATATATATATATATGTATATATATATATATAAATATATATATATATATAAATATATATATATATATATATATATATATATAATATATATATATATATATATATATATATATCAGGGCCTATTCTTCGAAAAAAATTTGTGTGGCGGTTCTCCCTCATTTTGACGAACTTTAGCAAAAAATCTACGGTTTTTTCGATAAGAAAAAACCATAGATTTTTTGCTAAAGTTCGATAACCTTTCGATAGATAACCTTTCGATAGGCCTGATATATATATATATATATATATATATATATATATATATATATATATATATATATATATATATATAACTGATATATATATATATATATATATATATATATATATATATATATATATATATATATATAACTGATATATATATATATATATATATATATATATATATATATATATATATATATATATAACTGATATATATATATATATATATATATATATATATATATATATATATATATATATATATATATATATATATATATATATATATATATATATATATATAAATATATCAGGCCTTGTGATGAATAAAAACGGCATGACGCATAAGCACGACGTGATTTTTGACGTCATTAAATTCTTTTTATTTGCTTTTCATATTTATTGACATTAACTGCACCAATTTACTTAATTACCGCAAAACTACTTTAAATCATTAATGTAGAAATGTTATTATTTTAAAATGTTTTGGAATGTTTTGTTTTTTAAAATGTAAAAACATTTGTTTATTTTCTCAACGTTTGACACGTTTTGTCTATACTAAACGAATAAATAACATAACTAAACATTTAAAAAAGATTATAAAATATGCTAATATTTGATTTTTTTTTTTTTCTTCAAATATGCAATTTAAAGTTTTTCAAATAATTATTTTTTCTTTTTAAAAAGTCAGCGAGTAATAAACTGGAAATTTTATATTGTACGATTAAAAACTGTGCAATAGCTAATATTTTTACTAGCGATTTTATATAATATTTTTTTATTTATTTATTTTCATAAAGCGGTTGATAAGCACAATCATTCGTATTACTAAAAAACTTTAATGAACATTATGAATAGATTTTTAATGTTTACAAGGAATTTTATTTTTGATAAAATAAAATAAAATAAAATGTTAGAATAAAAATCTTATAGGTATAAAAGACATATTTCAGCGAAAAAATTATTATTAAAACTTATTCGAAAAACTATTGACGTTCTATTTTTCAGCAGCTGTTCTTGAGCACGCTTTGTTGAGTTTTGGTAACTTTTAACAAAAAAGCGATTGTTATTATTTAAGTAATTTTTTTCGAGTTACTTTTTACAAAAATTTTAATAGCTGTACTTTTTTATTCAATCAAGTAGAATACGTTTTAATATTAATCCTTTTAGATTTTTATTTGCATTACCAATTTTTAAAATGTTTCCTCGAAATTACTCTTAAATACGTCTAACATTTAATAAATATTTTTAAATCTATGGAATAATTTTAAAACCTAACAAACCCCCATAAAATAACTATTTAAGTTAAAAATCTTAAACTAAAAGAAAGTATTTTTGTTCAATTTTATCAACAACTTTGCTATTGCTGAATAATTTTATTAAAATATTAGCTTAAAAAGATTTAAACATTTTTTTTAATCTGAATTTTTTCTACTTGTAAATAATGAGCATATTTAATTTTTCTGTAATTGAAACTTTTATATCAACAGCGTGCAGTTTTTAAAATACTTTATTAAATGTTAAAATAATCGTAAATTACTTCATTAAAATTCCGCTCAAAAATATCTTTAAATATACTCAAACAAAAAAATATTTGCTCGACGCAAATAGCCCTAGCTACACACAAAATGGCTCTTGGACAACGTAAAATTCATATTGCCCAACGCTTTATCGCAAGGCCTGATATATATATATATATATATATATATATATATATATATATATATATATATATATATATATATATATATATATATATATATATATATATATATATATATATATATACATAAAACAATTATGTTCAGATATGCTACAAATAAAAGTGTATCAATTACTATTTATATATTTTTTTTAAATATACCTATAGTACAGAAAGGAAAGTTCTCTGCAGCTGCTTGACTTTTAGTAAGAACATTAAAAAAAGTTGATTTTCTAAATATAAACAAGTTATTCAGAATATTTTTTTTACATAATTAGCTTTAATAAATAAAACAAAAACAATTTTTTGTTATATCTTATTTTATTTCAAAATTATATTAAAATATTATTTTACCAAACAAGTATTTTATTTTATAGTTTTCTATAATTTCACATTATTTTATCGTATTTTTTATTGATTAATCAATATTAAAGCTAAATTATATTATACTATAATATATATTCTGATAAAGACAGATTGTATAAATTTATATAAATATTTAACTTAGAATATTGATTAAATATCTAAACTCCTAAAAATAATACTAAAAATAGTGTCAATTAATAACAACAAATTTACTTTTTTTTTCAACTATAGAATGGATTTTTTTGAACATAAAACTCAGGATAATATGATTTCAATGGAAAAATTGAATATAAGTTATGAATGAAACTCAATTGTTTATTGAAATAATGTGTTATGTTTTAGAAAACATTCAAAACTTTTTTGAACGCAAAGATAAATTTGATTAAGATATAAAAATTATATAAAAAAAGTTAAAATCTCTTAGATTCATATCAGCTAAAACATCAACTAAATAAATATATACAGTGAGAACAGAATTTATTCGTACAAAGTAACTTTTCCATTTTATTTTGCTAAAACTTGTTTTTAACTTGAATAATATTGATAATAATTGTAACATTTTTTTTTATTTATTATGACTATTACTTATTTATAATTTTTTAGTAAATATATAAGAAAATGTGTTTACTATACAATTTTTGCTCAAACAGGTATTAATTTGCATGCACATAAATTAATTGTACAAAACTGTTTTATTGGTAATTTGTTATGAAAATGAATGTTTATAATTTTTTTAATTTATAAAACATCAATTTTATTATTGACTTTGTATTTCTAGAACATTATTTTTAGCAATTAATAAAATTTTGGAAGAAAAAGACATTAACTCTGTTTATTGTACAGTATGGCACCCAAAGGTAAATATTTAAATATTACTCAACAAAAAATTGTTATAGACTTGGTTAAACAAGGAAATATTTATAGAAAAGTTGAAGAACTTACAAATATTCCATTTACAACAGTAGGAGCCATTGTAAAGAAATACCAACAATATGAAACATTTGAAATTCATACTGGATGAAGGCGAAAACGGAAGACAAGTTCAAGAGACGATAGAGAAATTTTAAGAATGATAAAAAAAATTGGTTTGAAACTGCAAAAAACATAGCAAATCATTTGAGGGGTGAAGCTTTTCATTTAAGTTGCACACAAGAAACAATTAAACATGACAGTAGAAATGTTATGGGGTTGTATGGCATGGAATGGTGTTGGTAAACTTGAGTTTATTGATGAAACTATGAATGCTGATTTGTATAAAAATATGAAACGAAATTTAAAATCTTCTGCTAAAAAGCTTAGATTGGGAATACTTTTTTGTTTGATCCAAAACACACTGCTAAAAAAACTAAAAGCTTTCTTTATAAAAATGGCATAAACATTTTAGAATGGCCTTCGCAGAGCCCTGATTTGAATCCAATAGAGCATTTATGGACTTTATTAGATAAAAAATTAGGTACTAGATCATTTATAAAAAAAGAAGATTTGAAGAAAGCTGTTGTTAAATCATGGTCTAACATCAACAATAATCAAATTAAGTGTCTAGTAGAATCAATGTCAAAACGCCTGTTAAATGTAATTAAAGCAAAAGGAGGACCAACTAAATATTAAAGTATATTATTAAAATATAAAAATTTGAAACTGCTTCTCAGTTATTTTAATAAACTGGTATTTTTTCTTAGCTTTTACCTATAACGCTACTTTTGTACAATTATTTTATGTGCATGTGTTTTTATTTCCTTCTTCATTTTAAAATTCCTAATCAGATGATTTAAATACTTAAATAAAAATTTTCCTTTTTTTCTGAAGGTCATTTAATAAAAAGTCATTATAACTAGTGCATGATACAATATTTTGTTCAAAGGTGTTAACTTTATTGAAAAATTACTTTGTACGATTAAATTCTGTTCTCACTGTATGTATGTAAATGTATAATTAGAAGAGTAAGATTAACTCATCGTTTAATTATTTTATTCATAGTTTTTTAATGCTTTATTTATTATGTGTTAAAACAATTTTAAAAGCATGCTATCTTTTTATAAAAATAGGAAGCAATTTGTATATATATAAATATTAACTTTTAATTCATACAAGCTGAATCTAATTAAATGAGCTGCCTTGGTATCTTGGTATTTTTCTAGTTTATTTTTGTTTACTTGTATTTTCCCAAAAAAAATATTTTATAAAATATATGAGGTAGAATCAAAATTTAAGAAACTTTTACTTTTTAAATATTATAAATATTGATATACAACTCTTTACCCGACATTAGGAACTCCTACGATCCCAACTTTTAGGGATGTTCCAAAACGTCCTAATAATATTGGCTCTGGTTCTTGATTTTTCTTTGGACCCATTTTCGAAAGTTTGTATTTTTGCCTAACAAATAGAATTAAAAAGTTTATTTTAACTCTGTTTTTCAATATAATTCCAACTTTGCTACCGGAAATCATAAGGCAACACGTGTGACACAAACGAAGCTAATGTCGCAAAATTGCGTTAGTATTCATACGTGAAGTGTTATCGTAATATAAACATTAAGAGTGGGATCCAACCCGGTGGGAAATGAGCTAGCGACTAGCGAGCGACTAGCTCGCTTTATAGCGAATTTCTAGCGATTTTTTTTTCCTATTTTATTATTTCCTAATGTCTTTAACATCTTTAAAAATTCGATTTTTAGTGTTGAGTCTATTATAATTATGAGGATACTCGAACTTTAAACATTGCGATTTTGTAGCAATGTGTCGCTAGCTACATATCGTAGCTTTGTAACTGGCTTACAAAATATCTACAAATCTATAGCTGGTTGATAGCTACATATCAAATTTTTTTAGACAACGACTTTATTACGATATGACGCTAGCTACAATACCCAGTGGGTCTTTAGCTTATTAAGCTAGCTGTCCTCTTAACCAAATGTATGTCTTTGTCTTTACAAATATCGATAGCTTTTCGCTAACTTAAAAAAGCTAGTGATCCTCGTGGCCAAATCGCTGTCTTTATCGTTACGATTATAGATAGCTATTCGCTAGCCGATTTCCCACCGGGAAGATGGTGACTTGAAGAACCTTTGAGTGTCTAGAACCTTAATATCTTTAATCTTAGAGTGTAGAGAATTTTAGAGATCGCGATACACCAACAATCGTGACTATTCCGTTAGAGCAATACCGTTAAATACCGTAAAACCACCTAATTACGTACGTTTTGAAGTAAAAATTAAACATCTTGCTTGTTATAACTAATTTAAAAAAATAAAAACACTAAAATATGTGCAGCGACAAAACGAATCGAACGATATAAAAAAATAATATTATTTTAATTTTAGATTTCACTAAATTTAAGTTTTTAAAAAACTTGTATTTATCCGGAATTAGGGTAGTATTAACCTAATTCCGGATCAAAACAAAATAGAAAAAACCCACATATAAACTCATTAAATTAATTAACCAAACTGTTATTTTACAAGCTTTTGGGTTGTTTTAGACTTGCTTTCAACAGTTTTTTTATGCATTTTCTTTTTTTTAGACGCAGCAGCAATTTTTTTTTTGTTCTCTATATAGTTTTTTGGCAGCTTGTTTGTCTAGTTTTTGTTTTTTCGATTCTTGTTCGGCTTTCGTTAAAAGCTAGAGCCTTGGCTGAGGTCATATTATAATTGGCTGGTCGTTTAATTTTTTTTGCTTTTCTCTTTTCTGTTATCTAAAGGTGTATGTTGATCTTTGAGCAACATTAAAACTGATTGGTTGATGTCTTTTCCGGCTTTTTTAACTGTTTCATTTATCGCATCTAAACTTCTAAGTAACATTTCTCGGTTTGACATTCTACTTAATGGTGTTTTAGGAGTGTTGGTTACAGGCTGAAAATAACTATTAACGTTCTCATCTTTAACAGCTTCAAAAACCTTGCCTATTGCAGTTTTTTAAGAAGAAATTCACGGTCGATCAAGTGGAAATAAACCACTACTGCTAGAGCCAGTACGGGCATTTTCAGGTTTAAACGAATTTTTTTCGATAAGATCTTTGAACATGGCAGGATATTGTCTCCGGAATTAAACTAACAAATTCTACACACAATTAAGCGTGAATAAATAATAATTACTTGTATCCGTAATTAGGTATCTTTTTTTTTGTGTGGTCGTTTTTGACTTATTTTGAATATATTTAAAGAAATATTAACATTATTGCAACTTTTTTTGTTTTTGTTTTTGCTGTGAGTATTTTAGATATTCTGCGCTTCGGCGCTATCAAAATAACGTTACTTATCCTTAAATACCTTTAAAAATAATTTTCTGGAAAATGTCACAGACAACAGTATCTGGTTTATGTGGAAAACTTCTTATTGGAATTGAATTTATCCAATGATTTCTTTCTTTTTCATTAGAGGGAAGCCTAAAAACTCGTGCTTTATTTTTAGCGTCATAGTTTCCTCTACATTCAGGAATATAGCACTTTTTAACCATTTATTGTAACAATCAACTACTCACAAATTGAACTTTTAAAAGACTAAAATATGTCTTTCCGTAAGATTATCCGCCCCCAGTCAAAAATACGGATTCGCGACGGGAAGGCGTTGCCATGGTTTGAGAACATTCAAGTTTATGTATGTTTACATGTATGTCCGTAAAACAAAATTTTTTAAAATTCACGATAAAGTAATGAACTTAATTTTATTTATATAAAATTTATTTATTTAAAAATTATTTATATAAAAAAATTAACTTTATCAATATTTTGCGGACAAACATGGAAACATACATAAAATTCAAATGTTCTCGAAACGATTAAAAAATCTGGCCGGTTCTTCGCAACTAAATACTATTTGCGTGGTCAATTATTGAGTGTAATCGCACCCGCTTACTGACCGAGCCTGAATAACCAGCATTAGTACACACTAAAAAAAAGGTACCTTATATATATCACATATCCTACCTTAAGGTAGGATATGTGATTTATTTTCTGTAAGGTATAATTTTATACCTTTTGAGGCAGAAAATTATATTAATAACAAAGCAATTTTCTACCTTAAAGGTATAATTTTCCATCTTAAAAGGTAGAAAGCTACACCTTACTTAGGGTATATCACATATCCTACATATAGAGAACTAATTAATGGCGCAAAGCTTTCGTCTCCCCTATTTTTAAAAAAAGAGCTACATCGGATTCTAACAACTGTAGACCTTTTTCTTTAACTTGTACTTGTTGTTGAATTAAGGAAAAAATTATCAACTCACATGTCCATTAAAAAAATGGGTTTTTCAGTGAAGCATTTCATTTTTCCGAATGAAACATTTACGTAACATCAATTTGGCTCAGCGACGATTTTGAATAAATTTTTTAAGCGCCTACTTGTTTCGCTTTTGCATGAAAAAAAAAATGTATGCAAAAAATAAAAAGAGAAAAAAAAAATCAGCTGACTCTAGTAATTGCTACACTTGCTATAGCCTGGATCCGCTCCTGGATTCCTAGTATAAAAAATACTTAATCTGGTAATTATCGGAATAATCCAATAAATCTTTTAGAAGTCATTACTTTTGTCCAGTTAATTTTAATTATAATTATTAAAATATGTGGTTGCAAAGCAATTTAGTTACCCGTAGCAACCCAAAATTTACCATTAAAACCGCATTCCTGAAATTAGTGCAAAAATAGTCGTTAAACTTTTTTTATATGACGAGTTTTGTCAAGTAAAAGTAAATTCTGGCCAAGAGTGGATCCATAGGGAGGGCCGATTCAGAAAATTGACTCTCTTCCTTTTTATATAGTCTGGATTCACCGAATCAAAAAAAAAAAAAAAAAGACTCAACTCCTCCTTACTATACGGTCTAAACCCTGGCCCACTGTGCCGTGGCGTTTTCATGTAATAAAAACGCCTAAGACAACGACCAATTGGATAAATCGGTGTTTTGATATCGTTAAGTCCGTATTTATACAACGCAACGACGACAAAAATAACAATACTACATTTTTTTTTATAAACGTATTTTAAAAATTGTACAGTGTTGATGATATAAATACTAATAAATAGAAATAAATAAAATATTATCAAATGTTTTCTATAAAATTAAAACAAAACTCTTATGTGCAAATTTCAGTTGCAAAAACATTTTAAATAGAAAAGAATATCAAGTTCAAAGGTTTCAAATTAAATTTGAATATTTTTTATTGACTATTTTTTACAAACATTTTTATTTATCAGCATAGAGCAAAACAATACTTATTATATACATAACAACCGCTGACCAACCTGCACCGTATGACCATGAAAAAGCGATATTTTGTCTGATGAATGTATTTGTGTATACAGATAACGAAATCAGAATTAATAATGCTAAAATAAAATTAAAAAGAAAAATAATAAATACAAAGTAATAAAATATTTGTTTTTAAAATTGTATGATTTTTTTTTAATTTTATAAAAAAAAATCATAAAAATTCTTTTTATGTTGTTATTAAATAATAATTCTATATATTGCTAATTCAAGAAGCAAATTTCTTTATTTCCATACAATAACTGACAACTTTAACAAACCACTATTAATAAAAATTTATATATATATATATATATATATATATATATATATATATATATATATATATATATATATATATATATATATATATATATATATATATATATTTGTATATATATATATATTTATATATATATATATATATATATATATATATATATATATATATATATATATATATATATATATATATATATATATATATATATATATATGTATATATATATATATATATATATAAATGTATATATATATGCAAATTTTATGTCAGTTGATGAATGTACAATCCTCACATGTTTTACCTATTTAAGTCATTTAATTGTACATTGTGACAATCCCTAAATAAAACAGTCATTAAAACATTAAAGTCAAATAAATTTGTGTTTTTGCAGTAATTTAAAAAAGGATTTAATTTTATATGCATTCGCAAATAGTTTAATGGTTTTGGCTTTATAACACCACTTTTGTCGTTGTATCATTGTATTACTTACTGATAAATTTTGGTACTTTTAATGCATTTTGATATTTCTAAAATTAATTTTTGTTTACAATAATGAAGCACAATAATTTAAAATGTTTAGATGAACACATAGAAAGAAAATTTGTTAGACATTGTCAGAGCTTGTTAGGCAACAATCAAATGATTATTTAGACTATCATAACAAAAAATATTTTATTAAAATTATTTACAGAACAAAATGATATATATACAAACAACTCCTCCACAATTTCAATCAAGAGATTGGTAGAGATTCAATCAAGAGATTGCTAGAGATAAAAAAATAGGGCCTTAAAGATAAAAAAGTTTGCACCTTTTATGAGAATAACAATATGATAGGTTAAGAAACTTCTAAATTATGTGTATAGCAGTAGTCTTTTCTCAAGGAAAAAATTTCTAAACTGATGATAAATTCACTGTTGGAAAATGAACCTGAATTCGCAAGTATAAATGTTTTATAAGAGATGCTAACTTTCAGGGCTTCAACAACAAGTTGATTTGAAAATATAAAAATTGATTAAATTCAATAAGCATCTTTGATATACCTTATAACTTATTAACTAAAATAAAAATTATTTTAAAATAAAACTCCCTTATTTGACTTGCTTCTTTTAAACTAGAGGTTTGTAAATAAATTAAGATATGGACATCTACATTCATTAAAAAAAAAAAAAAAAAAATTTGTCATGACTGATATAATAAAGTATATACCTGATATGAAAAAACATAGAGCGATTCTACCAACAGGAAAATAATACTTCCTGGTCACACAATAAATTGTTTCAAATGCAAAAGCCACCAGTGTCAATAACAAGGAAATAATATAAAATATGACCAAAACATTTCGCCGAACTAAAAATATTAAATCATTCTATTGCTACTAAATTTACAATTTTTTTTTTTTAATTTGATAACAATTTTCATTTACTATTTCAAAATCAAAAAATTTAAACATATTATCAATGTATTTATTGTCTATTTACAAACAGTATATAACAAACAAATACTACTTACTAGTCCAATTATTTATATAACTGGGAACTTTGTAGCTTTCACATTTTTCTGTCATTTCCTTTTCATCTTCTCTAAGGTGATTGTATATTACTGTATTGCACTGTTCCCATAGACCAACTCTAGTGAAAATAACCGAGTGATTTGAAGACTAAACAAATCAAAAACAAAGTGAAGGTAAAAATTTCAAAAAAAATGAAGTTAAAGTTAAAATATGTTTCAGGGTGCAGTAAAAAAAAAGCATAGTATTGGAAATAGGCATTAAAAAATTTTTTTATCAAATATTTTTCAGAAATAAGTTAATTAAAAAAACTTGAGCCAAAATAAAAATGCTAAAAGAGAAAAAAAAAACTTCTATTCCGGGTGAAACTCTTTATTTTTTGAATTCATTATTAAACAATATTTCAAGGTAGTTTTGATACCCTTGTTATCAAGTATAATATATATATAAAAACCATAAAAAACAGAGCAAAAACAAAAACAAATCAATGCAATAGTTTTTTTGATTTTTCAAATATTTAAACATAGGTTTCCAAAAGGAAGTTGTGACATGACCTCCGTCATCCTGATTCAGATCGTCGTCTGAAGTGCACATTCATGGCATTGTATTTCAAGTGCCTCCCTCATTTTTCTGTTAAAATTATTGACCTCTACTTTTAAAGTATTTTTATTGCTCCATGTAAAACTACCATGAAAATACTTGAATGCTCTGCTCTTGCTAAATTATCCCATTTTTCATATATATATATATATATATATATATATATATATATATATATATATATATATATATATATATATATATATATATATACAAATTTTTTTTTTTTTTTTTTTTTAATTCACCTCATGGCCGAGAAGGCCACTACAGACGAGGAGGCTACTTATTTGTGGCTATAACCCTCTCTCAACTCTATAACTCCGAAACACAAACCTTGATGAACAAGGCCGCTGTGCGGAGAAACAAGTTGAGCGCGGTACTACCAGGGACGTGGTGAGGATCGAACTCCGAACCACTCGTTTATGAAGCGAGCGCTCTACCACTACACCACTACCGCATTAAATATATATATATATATATATATATATATATATATATATATATATATATATATATATATATATATATATATATATATATATATATATATATTCAGTTGATAAAAATGATAACATGTTTATAAACTGTTTTTTAAAATTTCAACAGTGTCCCTTATTTTTATTTGATTTCTTTGCAACTTATCTAGAGCAACTCTAATTGATTTTAATATTTTCAACAAAAAATTAGTTTGGTTTAAAATGATATTTTTTTGATTGGTTTAAACCAATCAACCCTGGCCATATTTTTTTTTTGCAATTCTATTAAACTTACTTAAGTGGATACACCACCTAAATTTGATGAATTAGATATCACCTGTGCAGATTTAGATCTCAATGGTCAGACATTTTGATTTATTGGTTATGATCATAGTTGTAAAAAAAAAAGCTACTGACTATATAGAAGTGTTAAATGTTTTTCTATGCTGTGTTCCATTGATAGAGCTGTGGTCATACTAAGGGATTTGAACTTAACTGATATAGACTGGAACTATTATTATGGTCAAGACAAAGTTATCTATAACTTTTTTTTTACATTTTACAAACAACTATGGTTTTAGTCAGTATGGTGATTAACCTACTCACGAAATTAGCATCTTAGATCTTATTTTGAGCATTTCTACATTTATCAAGGATCTTTGCATTAAATCACCCATTGAAACTAGTGACCATTGTGTAATTTTATTTACTCCTCATTAGAGATGCCTGCATTATAATGATAAAATTCATGGAAGAGATAAGAAATATCAGTTCAACCTAATGACAAAGCAGCTTATAAATCATCCACCTCAAAATGTTTTCATGTTATTTAAACATATCATGCAGCAATAGATAAGTAAAAAAAATCTTGGTAGTTTCTTTAAATTTGTAAATGATAAACTCAAAATGAATAGTAAACTGACTAAGATTCGTCGATCTGATAATACTCTTTCACAAAATTAACAACAAATATCTAGTATTTTTAATCATTTTTTTGCAAGTGTTTATACCATTGATAACGGTTTATCACCAAAGTTTATGGATTGTGTTCATGTAAGTACAACTTGTCTGTCATCGATAAACTTCTCTCTATCTACTGTAGAAAAAGAATTAAGATCACTTAAACCTACTAAATCTACTGGTCCAGATAGCATTCCAAATAACCTATTAAAATTCTATGCCAAAAATTTAGGAAACCACTATATGTCATTTGTTTGTTACCTAATTTAAATATGGTGTATTACCAATATGCTAGAAAATAGCAAATGTCGTTCCAATCCATAAAGAGACCAACAGTGGATCCAAGTAATCATAGACCTATCTCCTTGACATCTACTTGTTGTCATTTAATGGAACAAATTTTTATTAATGAGCTAATAAACTCTTAATTTTGTAACTCAATAAAATAAATAGACATTCGAGAAAAAGAAGAGCTCCCTGGATAAATTGTGATTTAAAAAATCTAATAAGAAAGAATAAAGATTTAAGATACAAAAATTATGCTTTAAATTGGAGAGTTAAAAAATTAAAATTATCGTACAAAGAATGCTGCAAACAAGTAAATTATGAAATTTTAAAAACCAGAAAACAATGTGAAATAAATCTAGGTCACAAATCGGAAAAAAAAACCCTAAACTTATTTATAGGTAAATCAATAATCAAAGAACTGTAAAAAATTATGCAAACGCAATGGAAAATATTAATGGTTGTATTTTTAATGATCCAACTGAACAACCAATTTTACAATGTTTTTAGAAATAAAAACAAAAATCTGCTACCTGATTTTCCCTGTTGATTTAATGGTAATTAAGTTTGGTGTTTCTACTATTACTATGTAAAGTTAAAACTACAGAGCATAAAATGTGATAATTCAATTGGACCTGATCTCTTTCATCCAAAACTTTTAAAATATTGCTTGGACTCATTGGCTTTTCCACTTACCTTGATTTTTCGAGCTTCTATATATACTGGCATACTGCCATAGCAATTTCGATCTGCATATATAACATCATTGTTTAAAAAAGGTGACAAGCTGTTAGCATCAAACTACAGACCAGTTTCCCTAATTTCAATCATGTATAAAATTTTAGAGGATTTTGTAAAAGTATCCTTAGAAAAATCATTATATAGTAATAATTTAATTTCAGCAAATCAGCACAAGTACTTTTACGCCTCACTCTATTCAATGGTTTTCCTCACATTGTGCTGCTGCAATTTCCAATCAAAACCATTACTTTTATAGCTAATAGCAAAACAATTTTCCAGAAACAGATGTCTATTTACTATTGCTAGAAACCATTGTAAAAGGGTTTTGTTCTACGCCAAAGGCTGCTATTCAAGTGCTTATCAAAGTCTTGTTTTCCAGGCTGCTGGAAAGTGGCATCTGTTATCCTTATTTTCAAAAACTCTGGAGAGCGATCTGATTTGTCTAACTACCATCTCATTAGTCTTCTTCCTATCATAAGCAAGGTTTTTGAATCTTTAATTAACAAACACTTAATCTCTCATCTTGTATCTAATAATTTCTGATCATCAATGTGGATTTCGATCTTCTCGTTCTACAGCTGATTTGCTAACAGTAATAACTGATAGGTTTTATCGAAAATTAGATAAAGTTGGAGAGGTTAAGGCCATCTCTCTTTTTTTTTTTTTTTTTTTTTACATCTTCGCTTCCAACAAGGCTGCAAGCAACCACTAATTAGTGTTGGAAGTTACTGGAAGAGAAAAGATGAAGATTGGACAGAAATGTCAAGAGCAATGGCCTTAACCTCTCCACCTTAATCTAATGCACGATAAAACCTATCTTGACATTTTTAAAGCGTTTGATAAAGTTTGGCAAGCTAGTTTTCTTCTTCTCAGTGGAAAGAAATAAGTGCGAGAGCGGCAAAAAGCTCTCCTAAAACGAACAAGGCGAGCTATGCTCCTCTAAACACCATCTTAGGAGAGCTTTTGGCTTTTGCTCTCACATTTGTTTCTTCTTTAAAAAAAAAAGCTTATTAATTACAAAATTTTAGTTTAATACTTATTACAAGCCCAGGGCGCAACAAATTGTTTTATTTTAATGAACGTTGATGTTCATATCTTTATTTAACAACAAACGTTTAATTTAAGAGATATATGTTATATAAGCAAGTTTTATTTTCAAATTATTTTTATTCTGGTTAATAAGATGTTTATTAAATTTAATTAATTTTTATTTCTTTAAAACAATTTTTTACTCATTTGCAAAGTACGCACAAATTAATGATAACTAATATGCAATGACCTAACGATTGTAAATTGTTATCCATTGACCTTTAAATATAGAATTTTTCTCAATTTAGTTCACTAAATGGCAGACTTGTAAACGACGCACCCCTATGAAATACTAATAATCATGACTAAAACTGTCCCAATTCTTACGGTCAATTAATGAATATATATTTCGTTGTGTCAATCCCTAATGGTTAGTCAAAGCATTTACATTTACTTCTATTTATCAATTATAATCAATTGATGTTATTACTCTTTAATTAATTTAATTAATTAATTTTATAGGTCAGTAAAGTATCATTTTCAATAAAACGTGTTTTAAACTTAGGGGGGTGCGCCGTTTACAAGTCCGCCCACTAAATTTATTTACAAATAAAAAAAACGTAAAAACTTGAAGAAATTAAAATACAGGGAGCTAAAAATAAAAAAAGTCTTTTTATTTATTTTTACAAAAGTTTCCACTTTTGTAGATTTGCCACGCCATGTCAAGCATATGTTTGTTACATTAATATTGCAAGAAAATATACATAAAAAGTGTCATTTATTGCAGCATGAAAACTTTTTTTAAATGAGCGTTATTTTTACTGTTTTTAAAAAAAGTTTTATATTTTCTTATTGCAAGTAAAAGCAGATGTTTTAAGAATTATTAAAATGACAGCGTTTTTTATTTTAGTTACAATGATAATTAAACTTTTGAGAGAAAAAAATATACTTTTGCGAGAGCCATAAATTGTTCCTATTACCATTTTAGGGGAATGTGGGTAAGAGATATTAAAAAAATAAAAACAAACATATTGTTTGTTTTTCTTTCTGTCATTTAACAAATGCGCGCACATTTGCCAAGGGAGGGGGAGAGGGGCAAACACCCTTATGATCCTTTCCCTAACTATTGATCCACCTTTATATTAGCCTATTTATTCATGGGAGGAAAAGATACAGGATTAATAGAGCTATGATTATATTAATAAATAAATTATAATAATAAATTTTTTTTTAATTACTTTCGCTTACGATTAAGTTTTGATAAAATCAAAACATTTTAATAAAAAATCAAAACATTTTAATAAATGTTTTGATTTTTTTCCTGGTTTTTCCTATAATTATTTCTTTAAAATTTTTACTATTTCAGGTTAATTTTTGTATGATACATATTTTTAAGGATTTTATTCTCTTTTCAGTTTATGGATTGTTTATTTTAATTTTAATTTGCTTTGTTTTTTTAGCGCATTTTTTAAATGCGCTAATTATCAAAACTTAAATATTGTCATATATGGCATGTGACTGCACGCCTCTTACGCGAAGGCCTGATAAATTTTTTCGATAACTTATATATATATATATATATATATATATATATATATATATATATATATATATATATATATATATATATATATATATATATATATATATATATATACATATACATATATACATATACAGGGGCTAGACCGTTCACAGCATCAACTATATTTTGGCGCAGCTCAAATTAAATTAATTTGATTAAATAGCTCAAATTGAGGCCCTTTTTTTTTTAAAACATTATTTACGACAAATATTGTTTTTTTCTCTAAAAAATGCCAGTATTCAGCAATATTTCAATATTTTATACTTTTTTTGGCGCATTTTTTAAAAACGCTTATTGTCAAAACTTGCAAAGAGCTGTAGCCAAGTTGTCAAAAGAAAGTATTATATGCGTGGTCTTATAAGGTGTGCAACTGTACACCTTTAAGGCGAAGGCCTGATTTATCTAATTTTTTCTTTGACAGACTGTTTCTCCTTCCATAGGTTCATCAGGAAGCTTTCTGATGAACCTTTAGAAAGAGATGTAGTCTGTCTACAAAAAAATTTATATATAAATACAGAACTTATATATAAATACGCCTTTTTTCAGTATTTTTAAGAGTGGCCTGGTATAAACATACTTTGCTGTGTTATTTGTATCAACAAAGATTTTTTTTGAGTACTATTATAGTTTAATTATAATTCTGCATAAAAATGTTTTTGTAAAATTTTGTTTATAATGAATTTATGGTTTAAAAATTTCTTATTGTTTGTACATCAGGTATGTATTAAAAAAGACTGAGACTTCCTATTATATTCCGACTTCTGCAAAAATCTTTTTTCTTGCTACCTGCCAAATTTTATTAAAAAAAAGCTTTTCCAGACATCCTACTAACTCACCCAAAATAGATATTTATTTTTACTTAAGTTTTGCTATACACATTGGTAGTTGGAGGAGGGCTTATCATAATAAACATATGAACATTAATATTTAAATGTATATTATGATATATTATGAGGTAATGTTGCAGAATAGCAGCGTAAAATTTTTTTGCTTGTTGTGATCTCATAAGTGGCTGCTTTTTAATTATTAGGAATACTAATTGAAATAATAAAAGAAAAAAGATTGCTGTCCTATGCCAAATCCACAGTCGATGTAGCGGCACTTCTTTGTAGCAGCAGGCTATATGATAGTCGATGTAGCAACACTCGCTTCCTTCAGTAGGCTATAAGATAGTCAGTGTAGAAGTTGTTGTCAATGTTGTACTGAAGCCAATATTCCATTTGTTTATAATTAAAAAGTTTCCACTTTGAGCCAACAACACAAAAGCGCAACAAGCAAAAAAATAAAATAACTTTATGCCATTATTCTGCAACATTATCTTATGATATAAAATAATATTAAATAGTATACACTGTGTCAAAAAAATTTTTATCCACCTATCTTGCATATTTTAAAAATTTAATAACTTGTTATTTAGCAAAGATGTAAACATGATATAAACTAAATTATATCATTTAAAAAATTAAGAAATATTGTACAAAAAGATTTTTTAAAGTAATGAGTAACAGATAAAATACAGCATTTTGGAATAAAAGATAAAATAAAATACAACTTTTTGGAGTAAAAGTCCAAAAAATATTTTCATCCACTTTACAAAAATCAAATAAAATTGTTATGCAAACTCAATTTGTTAGTGTTTTAATAACTTGTGTTTCCACCACGAGTATTTATTACCTTGTGTAGTCGTTTTTCATAGTACAAATTAATTTTTTGGTAATTAATTAATTAAAAAAATTAATTAAAAAATTAATTTTTTGGTAATTTCTGGAGTGATTAAGCCACTCTTTAATAATTACTAATTGTAGTTGTTGCTAATTCCTCTCATCGCTAGACCTAATTTTTTTAACCAATTCATCCCACAGATGTTTGATAGGATTTAAATCTAGAATATGAGCCATTTTTCGACACATTTGGCTGTATGTTTTGGATCATTATCTGCTGATAAATAAATGACCTAGTAAGTCCCGATTTGTGGGGGCTTTCTTCTGGATTATTTTTCAGAGTGTTTAAATACACATTTTGATCCATATTTCCATCAATGAAAACCAAGTTTCCTAGTCATCAATGAAAACCAAGCTTTCCAGTTGGACACAAGTTTTTTAAATGCTTCATTTGGTTTTCTCCAAACTTTAACTTTTCCATCAGATTAAAACGCATTAAATGTTAACTCATCGCTGAAAGGGACCAATTTCCAGATTATCTGTGGTTTATTTTTGTAAAGCTTTGCAAAGTGTAGTTGTTAAGTTTTGGGCTTTGTTAAATTTGCTGTTGTAGAGCTTTTTGAATGTTACTTTACTATTGTATTCAGTTCTTCTTAAGGTTATTCTAATAACTTCAAGATCCATTTTAAAACTGTAATCATTTTGCAGCATTTCAGCAAGTTTTGGAGCATTTATTTTAAAATTCTGGATGACTATTCTCGAAACAGCTCGTTGATGCAATACTTGAATTTTATTTGGATGTTCTGTAATTTTATTTGGATGTTCTGTACATGGCTTATTAGGAATTTCTGTACATGGCTTATTAGGAATTCTGTACATGGCTTATTAGGAATTTTTGGTGGTTTGGTATTTCTTAATAACGGATTGCACAGTTACGTGTGATTTTTTAAATATTTTTTCTTTATACTTCACTGTGATTTTCCCTCATTCTATAGTCTAACAATAAGCAATCTAATTCCCTCTGCAACTCTCATTTTTAACAATTAATCTAACAAAAATAAAAAATATAAAAAAAATCATCTGAAGAAAAAATAATACAAAAATTATACTAAATCTAATTTATATTGGAAAAATGTGACTTTAATACTGATTTAATAACAAATTGATATTAGTGCAGGGTGGATGAAAACTTTTTTGGTGCTAAAACAAGCATTGTTTATTTTTAAATGCTGTATTTAATTTTCTTTTTATTATTTTGTAAAATCTTTTTTTACAATACTTCTTGAATAGTTAACTGATATAATTTAGTTGAAATTATGCTTGTATTTTTGCTGAATAAAAAAGTTATCGCATCTGAAAAATGTACAGGATAGGTGGATGAAAACTTTTTCGACAGAGTGTATATAAAATACATAAAATATAAAAAATATTTATAACGAAATAACAATATATTTTTTACTTGATGATATATATATATATATATATATATATATATATATATATATTATTATTATTATTATTATTATTATTATTATTATTGTTATTATTATTATTACTATCATTATTATTATTACTACTTTTATTATATAATATTAGATCAGAAGAATATATTTTAACCTATTAGTCGGTTATTTTGTCCTAATTTGTACTCAAGTCCAATTTTATGTTATAAAAAAAACAAAAAAACAATTATTTAAAACCTTGTCTTCAAATACTGATTTTACTAATGTCTTTCTATCTTGTGACAATTCTTCTTCAAATTCATACCAATAATTAGTGACAAGAGATAATATTATTATTACAATGCAAAATATTGAACAAGATACAGTAGCTATAGTTTTTACGGACATGATATTGTCCGTGTTATTGTACGAAAGCGTCTACGTTCAATTAAATCCATCAAAATATTGAATCGAGTGAATGACACTCCTTCTCAATGAATACCCACTATAGTATGATATACACATTTATAAAAAAGATGAATAAGGAAAACTACCGGAAAAATATTAATGAATCAGACGATTCATCTTCAATTTGCAGCAAAGAAAAAAATGCAAAGAAAAAAGTGAAAGTATATTGAAAGTAGCAAAATAAAATTTATATAATATCAAAAGTTTAAGAGGCAATATGAAACACGCTTCCTCGATTTTACATGTTATATGAAGTAAAAATAAATTTTCATAATTTTTAAAATAAAAACTTTTAATTATAATAATATTTTTTTTTTCAAATATATTATTTTAAATATACATTTATTAAGTATTAAACTTTTTTGGTAGAGTGAAAAAGTGAAATCTCTAAAAAAGAACAATTATTTTGTTTTTTTAAATTTCACTCCTTAAACATTCTTTTAAATAAATTTATCACATTTACATCAACTTAAATTTAGTTATTAAAAATTTCTAATATTCTATTTTTTTAAAAAGGTAATGCAAAATTTTACGAGTTAAACCGATGCCTACTTTTAACTAATGCCGACGTTAACATTTTAGATTGCAATTTAGGAATTCTCATTTAAATTACTATTCACTTTTTTAATTCAAACAGTTTTATTGATATGTATTAAAAATTTACGTGCATCGTTCGTAACTTTTTATCAATGATAAATAAATAATCCGTGGCCGTGGCACAGGAGATCTAGGTTCGAAACGAGCTTTGGACATAATTCGCGTTACGTTAAGGAAGAAGGCGTGAACTTTCTAGTTAAATGCACTTCTGCGGTGCTTTGTTTTGGGTCTTGGGGCACCTAAATGATAAAAAAAAAAAAAGTGATCAGTCGGAAACCACTCAACAAGGTTCAGAAATTTCAGATTTAGATTTTTTAAATTTACAGTTGTACTGTAAATCATTCTTTCGAGCCTCAAAATGTTGTCCCCATCATTTTTCATTATACTCTCCTTGGCAATAATGTTTAAAGACCAATATATCTTGATGAAAGCGCTTGTCTTGCTCCTCGTAGTATGGCCCATGTTCTCATTGAATTTGTTGAGATTCAAATTAAGGATATGGATATTCAGAGATATTCTACATCCCAATTTGGCGTAATTATTTATGAGTCTGCACCAACTCCATCTAGTTTTCAGCTTTGTGATTACCTAGAAAGCCCTAAGCAACTGCAATGAAACTGCTCTCTCCTTCCTGTTCAACAGCTTTACGAAATCCTCACATTCTATGATCATCTTGATCTGTGTTTTGTTTTTTCAAACAAGTTTTTATAATTTTTGTTAGTTATTTTATCTTCTTGATTGAATATATATATTTATATATATTGAATATATATATTTACTTCAATACCTTTAAAATCTTTTTCAAATGCTGTCCAAGGCTAAGATCAAGGCTGGTATACCAGCCTTGATCTTAGCCTTGAATATTGAAGTGCTTCTGACTTCTTGTCAAGAGTAGTGACAAATTGCTTAATGAAGCGGAACTTGATGTGCAGCGGTAACATAAGCACCGCTGCACATCAAGTATGTATGAGGTTCTATCAACGGTTCCCACTTCACATTGCTCTTCCAAACTGAAAACTTGGTCTGTTGTGGCCAGTCCTTTGTGCGATAATACGCCTTAGTGTCACGGCTTCCCCAGAGACAGAGGAAATAAGGAAGTTTTTTTCAAATTAAAACCACATTAAGAAATTCAAACCACTTTGAGAAAATCAAACCACTTTGAGAACCCATGGTGGTTGATAACATTTTGAAGTCACCGATGACCTCCAATCCGTAGTTGTCATACTTTAATGCACTCAGCAATATTTTGACACTGGCGTAGTCCTCTTTGAGATGCACAGAGTGGGCTATCGGGAGAGACGGGTAGTTGTTTCAATTGTGAAGCAACACGGCTTTGAGGCTCTGGGATGAGCTGTCTATGAACAGTCGCCTTTCATTTGATCTATTTTGCAAAATTCATAACTTGAGGTATCTATTTTGAAAGTTTTATTACAAATATTATTTCCATGAATTGCTACAAATTCAAGAAAAAATCAGCTCTCCAGCTACCATTTATTATTATTACCATTTATTTATTGATTAACGGAATTGCGCGGTTTTCAAAAATTTATGTCATTAACTATGCAGTTTAATTTTTTTTTTTCTAACCTAGTTTTCTCTGATATCAGTAATTTATTTACATTTAATAATAATAATAATATTTTTAATTTTGCCGTAGAAAGTTACAATTTATGAAATAACATAAATGATAAAACAAATGGCTGGAGCAAGAAGAAGACATCAGTTTGTCTTATCACCGAGCCCCATTGTGGTTTCATTAAAGGTCGTTTTTTACAATAAAATATATAAAATTGTGATAAATGCTTGTGATAAAATATATACAAAATGTGTAAAACTACGTTTCACAATTTATATAACTGTTAATATACAAATTTGTTTTGTAAGATAAATTTAGAATAAATAAAAGTAAAAGCAAATAAAAGAAATAAATTGTGCTAGTTTATACTTTTTACTAAAAAAGAAAAAGAAAATTGAAGTTCGTAGATAATAAAAAACGCTTTGATTCAGATTTGAACTGTTCAAGTGTATTTCTTTTGATAGTAACAATCTGGGTAAAAATTTTCTACAAATAAAGTCCGCAGTGTTGGATTGAGTATGAATTTAACTTTAATGTAAATTTTGGGATGAAAAAGTTGTTATATGAGAATCTAGTAGGGTATTTATGACTTATTTCGCTAAAATAGTCCGTATTTTATTTTTTACATAAACTGTAAAACAAGATGTATGTTAATTTTGTATATATTCAACGCTCCATGTTTACATAAGAGAGGTTCACAAGACACTTTTTACTTATTACAAAGACAATTCTACATGCTTGTTTTTGTTTACTGTAGAGTTTTTTAAGCTTAGTATAATTTGTGCTTTGCCCAGACCATGTTACCATAGCTTAGGTGACTATGTATTAATGAAAAGTATAAAATTTTTAAGGAAATAAAGTTTAGGAAAGGTTTTGCTTTATACATTAAAGAAATATTTCTTGAGAGCTATCTCTCTAAAGTATTTATATGGAGCTTCCAAGACAAACTTTCATCCAAGACCACATCTAGAAAGTTTATGAAAGTTTCTCTTTTTATATTATATAATATAAAAATAAATGATACTATAGTATCATTTATTTTTAGATCAGGTAGTTTAAGAGGAATTTTTTTATTTTTATTTGGTTTATGAAATAGGATGAATTTGGTCTTTTTGACATTCAAAGAGTGTTTGTTATATCTGAACCACTTGTTTATTTTATGTAATTCTTTGATCCGCAAAAAAGATTAAATTTAATAAGTTTGATGTTGAATATAAATGATTTATATAGAGTAAAAATAATAATGGTCAAAGCCTTAGGGAGCCCCGGACATTATGGCGTTATTTGTTGTTTTTGTTGTTTTATACTGAATATATTGCTTGCTGTTTAATAAATAATCTTTAAGCCAAAGTAAGTTGTTATTTTTTAGTTCATACACTTCAAGTTTTATTAGAAGAATGTCGTGATTTACGGTGTCAAAAGCTTTAGAAAGATTAATAAAAATTCCTAATGTAAAGCAATCATTACTAAAAGCATTAGATATATGAGTAACTAGCTCAATTGTAGTATGGTCGGTTGAGTAGTTTTTTTAAAGTCTATTATACATGATGTGTTCTAGTAATTTGAAAAAAATGGTAAAAACTGATATAGGTCTATAATTATTAGTATCAAAATCATCTCCAGATTTAAAAATAGGGGTAATTCAGACAATTTTTAGTTTATCTGGGACAATGTATGATTTCAGTGAAAGATCAAAGATGTGATGCAATGATGGTTCAATGATATCAATTACTATTTTACGACAAAGCTACTGACATTTTCAAAGCCCGCACTTTTGTTGTTTTTTATAGTATTTAAAGCGGATCGCAGTTCTTTGGAATCTAGATTTGTTTCTTTCATTACCTTTTCTGAGGTAAGGTTCCTAATCAAGTAAGAATAAAATCTTGCAGAACTCAACGGAATTTCTGCTGCTAATTTGTGACCCACATTAAGAAAAAAGCTATTTAGATATTCAGCCATTATTATCTTATCACTGACTAACTTACCATCAATTAAAAGTTTTTTCAGCAGATTGCTTTTTGTTCAGTTATTATTACCGACTCTTTAATCGTATTCCATGTTTTCTTAGCATTTCCATGGGGTTTTTTAGTAAATTTGAATAATAAAGATTTTTGAGTATTGTTTTGTTTTTTCAAATAAGTTTTTATAATTTTTGTTAGTTATTTCATTTTTATAAATTTGATTTTTCAAGATTTTGTCGTAGAGTTTTTTTTTTTTTTTTTTAATTGAGTATTTGATAAAACCTTTAGACATCCAAGGAGTTAAAGTGATTTTTTGTTTATAACAACAGTTTTAACTGGAAACGCTTTTTCACAACATTTACAAAATTGACCAAGAAAAAGTTCGTAGACGTTGTTCGAATCGCTTGATTGCAATATAAGATCCCACTCAACATTGTTTTTCAGTAAATTTTGAATTTTTGTAAGGAGTTTTCATTGATCTCTGGTTTGTATATAGGAGATTTGAGACTGGTATTGTTTGGTGCTATTTTTTAATGGTTAAGAAAGTGGGAAAGTGATCTGAAAGGTCTGTTTTAATTATACTGGTGAAAACATGGGAATTGTTGGTTATTATATTATCGACTAAGGTAGAAGAATTTTTAGTTATTCTGGTTGGCTTAATAATTGTTGGAACAAGACTGTGCTCAAATAGTGTATCAATGAAATATTTAACATTTTTATTAGAAGTATGCTTAAACAAATTAATGTTTGTATCACCAATTATGTAAACAAGTTTTTGTATGTTATTCATTTTATTTAAGAATGAGCTAAGATGAGTAGTGAATGTTTTAAAGTTTCCACCTTTTTGTCTATAAATAGTATTTATAATATAATAGTAACCTGACCCTAAATAAACT